GTTCATGTGTTAATGCAAAACGAAGCTTACACATCAAAGACATGTAGCTGGTGTGGAAACATTCAGAATATTAGAGGCATCGAAATAGATAGAGATATCAATGGCGCCCGAGGGATATTCCTTCGGGCTTTGCTTGATGGAGCCATGATTTTGTCTTAAGACAGCTTCATGCAGGAAATAATATCATTACTTAGTATTGATTATTATTGATACGTTAAAATCCATCCTCAATTCTAAATCAGCTTCACTTTATGAATGTTACGTAACGACTTTTTTCTCTTTTATCTTTATTTTTTTACTTTGGAAATTTTATGTAACGATAGTTGTCTTTTTTTTTTTTTTAAAAAAAAATTTGGAAACATTATACAATGACATTTTATCTTTTTTTTTTATTTATGTAAATTAAAACAACATAAAATACTAGCGTAACTATATATGTGCTATCAAACCAATCTTTAATTTAAAATAAAAAAAATTAATACAAATCAGCACGTGAATTATATGCTTATCAAATCATCGGATTCGACTTTTATCTGGATATTCATTAAGTTTTTAACCAAATATTCGAATATTAAAAAAAAGAAAAAAAAATTTGAAACAAATGAATATCCGGATTTTTATTTTTTGACCATATTAGGCCTCTATTCTTCTTCAATTCCATATACACCAAAGTCTAAGACATCAAACCACGTTACATTATTTCTTTGGACCGCAGCAACACATCTACGCTCATCGAATCTAACTTGCCTATTATAGATATTTTTTTTTCGTCAGATTATATCGTTAGTGTTAAAATAAATCACAATAAAAATAACTAATATATTACCAGACTCCAGTTAAGCCAGTTAATAAGTCTCGTTGTTGGCGACCTGTCTTAACATCCCACATTCGAAGTGTTCCATCTGATCCCGATATAACCTTACTCTCATCATGTTGGAAACATGTAATAGCTCCGGAATGTGTAGTTAAAACATGTTTACAAGTTCCATCGTCAGGATTCCATATACGAAGGCTAGAATCAGCAGCAGCAGAAACAAGAAAGTCATGTGAAAGATCTAGAAGACCAACAAGAGATGAATGACCTGTAAAATAAAACAATTAATTGGTCAAAATACGTTAAATTATAAATAAAATATCTATATACATTCATAAATCCTAATACATATCTAATATATATCTAATGTATATCTAATATTTATAGATTCTCATTCATACCTTCTAAAGTCCAGACAATTGTTCCATCCTCTAAACTCCATACCTTTACTGTACCATCCATACTTCCGCTCATACATCTTTTTCGTTTTGCGTCTAATACAACAGAGTATACTTTTTGTGTATGTCCTATTAATCGCCAAAGGCATTCACCGGTCATAATGTTCCAAACTCTCACTGAACAGTCGTAACTTCCGCTTACTAAAGTGTTTCCAACTCCTGCTAAAGCACGAACTGAATGTGAATGTCCTTGAAGTGTACGAACAAAATAAGGATTTTCCGGATATGGTGAATTATCTGATGGTGATGATGGAATTATAGGTTGATATTGAGGATCATTTTTTTCAAGATTTGGAAGACGCCAAACTTTTAAGGTGGAGTCCCTTGATCCCGTAACTATCAAAGGATAAAGTGGTTCAATAATTGGTGGCTCATTAGGATTCGTATTGACGTTTTGTGGCATTATAATCTGAAGACATCGAACAGTACTCGTATGCCCTGGGAAAACATGAGTGCAAATGCCTTTTTCAAGGTCCCACACTCTTACGGTTCGATCCGTAGAACCTGACACTAACGTTTTATCAACGTATTGTAATGCCCAAACACCTCCATCATGACCTTCAAGTCGATTAATTAATTTACCCGTTGAAGTTTCATATACATTAATGCATTGATCATCAGATCCTGAAATTATCTTTTCTGAATCAAATTGAAGACATGTAACAACATGATTGCCATGACCTTGAAAAGATATATGTTTATGCCGACCATTAATCCAATTTTGTCTCATAAGATAATGACGACGGTAAATAGCTTTATATGGATGACTTGCAGATGGTGGAAGTGGTGGTTGTTCTTCTGAAGGTTCGATATTATCATTACTTTCTTGAGACATAGCATCAACATCACTATCATCCCCATCATAAGGATGATCATCATCATGATGAGTTTCTGTTTCAAGTCGAAAATCATTCCATTCATCATCAGCTCGAGCCTTTCCTTTATCTTGCCTTGTGACAAATTCTTTACCAAACAATGAACTAGTACCAACCGAAGAAGAAGATGGTGGTTCATCAGTTCCTGTTGGTGAAAGAGTGATAGAATCTTGTAATTCATTATTATTACTATCAACAATCAAACTATCTTTTTGATCTGAAATGTCAATATCAACTGAATCAACTGCCATATTATCATTACTAAGATTAGTCCTATACACATCTAATCCAGATGATGAACCTTCTTTATCTTCATTAACTACTCTCATATGATCAGTTTCATCATCATCAATCTCTACAACAGTTCTTTCTTCAGACGATGAAGTACCACTTTCATTGTTCGTACCATCCAATTGTCTATTTATACTATGAGTGGATTTTATCGGGCGTAAAAGTCCCCAGTTTTCGGCAATGGCACGTGCTTCCTCATTAGCATCTAAACCGAATCCATCTAATTTCAGGCGACGTTGCCATGTCAAACCATCACCATCAATAACATTTCTCCATCTTTTACTAACTTGAGCAGCCCTACACATACTTCCAGCATCTAAATACCTCACTATATGTAGACTGAGTTCAAGAGGAAGTGCTCCAACAAAATCTTTCCTTAAAGCTGGTAAAATAATATTACTAACATATTGGAGAGTATTTGTTGGGCAACGACGAAGAAGTTGGAATAACATATAAGATTTCATTGAAGCCGGTAAAGCATCAAACGTTGTAAGCATAGTGTTCAAATCCCATAAGCTAGGAGTATTAGATGTATCAGTAGTTGTAGTTTGTTGTAAACTCCAATTTTCATTGATACTGCCAGATAATGGTTCATCAACAGTGACATCATCATCATCCACGTCGTCACGAACGGAATGTTCAGCGAAATAAGTTTCAAATTGATTAGTGTTACGTGAGGTTGAAACACCAGTAATCGGAGACAGTGAAGGAGATGGAAGAGCAGATGAATGAGTACTTCTTGTAGTTGAAGGTGCATCCATTCCAAGGTTTGAAGTCGATATAGTATTAAAAGGT